TTATTCCAGAAAGGGATTTTTTTTAAATGAGAAAACTGGGATGGATGTACTGCTGACAGTGTTAGGTCGCTGCCCCAGTCGGGGTGGGGCCCTGTTTCCAGCTCCCACCCAGACCCCACACTCGGCAGCTGAGCTCTCTGTGAGCCCGGGGACTGGGCACAGCACAGCTTTTCTTCCCAGGGTCAGTGTGCACACAGGAGCAGCTGCTACGCTGGTGCCAGGAGCAGACTGCTGGGTACCCTGGTGTCCACGTCACCGACCTTTCTTCCTCCTGGACCAACGGGCTGGCTCTGTGTGCCCTGGTGAACCGGCTGCGGCCTGGCCTACTGTGAGTTGCGAATTAGGGTTGGGGTCCCTGGCAGACCACACCTCCCTTTCAGGCCCCTGCCCCTCCCTCTACAGTATCGGGCAGTATGGAACTGTGAGGGGATCACTGTGCAGGAGTTAGCACACCCAGTTGAGTCCCAGCGCCACCGTTTTTGCCCAAGTCACTTCACCTCCCTAGGGACAGTATTCCTGTCTTACTCTGCCTGCATGCCCGCCTGCATGCCCGCCTGCTCGGGAATGTTGTAAGAATCAAATGCATTCAGTAGGGGCAGCTTTGTGAGCAGCAGAGAGCCCCAACCCCAGAAGGCTGTCATTGGGGGGTGGTGGTGATGGTGTAGCACAGAATAACTCTTACTGCCTTCTGCATTTGTGCTCCCCCAGCCGCCCACAGTGCTTTCTACCCACCATCTCTCCCTTTGGTGGTGGGGTCAGGTTCTGCTCTCCCATTGGCTTCTCTCCGATACCCCGTAGGGAACCCTCAGAGCTGCAGGGGATGGGGGCGCTGGAAGCAACTGGCTGGGCGCTGAAGATGGCAGAGCATGAGTTGGGCATCACTCCAGTGTTGTCCACACAGGCAGTGGTGGCAGGAAGTGACCCACTGGGCCTCATTGCCTACCTCAGCCACTTTCACAGTGCCTTTAAGAGCATGCCCCACAACCCAGGTAACCTGGAGACTGGGGCAGCGGTGGGGTAAGGTACGTGTGTGCACACATGGGAGGAGAGGGTGCCCTCTGAGGGACAGCCTGGGAGAGGTGTCCCTTTGGGCTGGAGTGTAGCCATCTGTTTTGGGGGCACAGCATGGGCCCCTCATCTGCCTCAACACCCTCCAACTCTCCCTGCAGGCCTTGCCAGCCAAGGCTCTCCAGCGACCCCCAGTGCTGTACTATTCCTTGGCAAACTGCAGAGGACCCTGCAACGGACCCGGGCCCAGGTGGAGTCCGGGCGGGGTTGGGGCTGGGCACTGGGTTCCTAGTGGGGGCCTCTGGGGTGAGGGGGAGGCCTGGGGACTCAGAACCCCATGCTGAGTGTAGGACTTATTACAGGAAAATCGGGAGGATGCAGGTGGCAAGAAGCTACGCCTGGAGGTAAATACATAAAAAGCCAGACAGCCCCCTGCCCCATGTTCTGGTCCCTTCCCTGAAACACTTTCCCAGCTCTTACCCCTGCAAGGTGCAGTCCTTTAACCCCCCATCCAATGTCCCTTCCTAGTCTCACTCCCCCTCCCTTCCAGCCCTTTCTGTTTAATTGCATGCGTCCACTCTCCAGCTGATCCTGGCACTCTACCCTCTGGCCTGAGCACTTACCTCCTTAGGTAGAGGCTGAGGCCCCAGGTACGGAGGAGCCACTAGTCCCAGAGTCTGGTGTTCCCCTGACACCCCCATCACACCACCAGGAGGTGAGAATGGGGGCCCTGCCTGCAGGAAGAGGCATGAGGTCAGGGAGGGGTTTCAGGGGTAGGGAAGGACTGTCCGGCTGACCCTGTGGCACGGGAATCGGTGCAGGATGGTAGTGAGGAGCTGTGCGCACTTTGTGGGGGACACCTCTACATCCTGGAACGCGTGTGTGCTGATGGCCGTTTCTACCACCGGAGCTGCTTCTGCTGCCATATCTGTGAGGCCACATTGTGGCCAGGTGGCTACGGACAACATCCAGGAGATGGTGAGTAGGTCCAGGAGGCCTCAAGAGGAACTCTGGGCATGGCCGGCAGCGTCTGAAGAAGTTGGAAGGTGGAGGGGCACTTGGCAGGAGGTGGACACAGGCTGAACACAACATCCTCCTCTGAGCTCGTTCATACCCCCGTCTCCTCCAGAGCCCCAGATGGGGTTCTGAGGAACCAGGAGGCTAACAGGAACTCACCTGCAAGTCCTGCTGCCCCTACCCTCCCAGATAAGCTGTCTTGGGACACTGTGTTGCCTACACCTGACATCTTTTCCCCTCTCCACCTTTCCCAGGGCATTTCTACTGCCTCCAGCACCTGCCCCAGCCAAACCACAAAGAGGACGACAAGGACAGAGGCCCTGAGAGTCAGGTTAAAGCTGTGAAAGTGTGTTTGTTGGGGGTGGGAACAAGGAAAGGGGCCTCACCAAGCCCAGTGGACTTCGCCGGAGGTGACTGAATGCTCTCCACTAGAGTGTAAGCTCCATGGAGGCAGGAGTTTCTGTCATTTTGCTTATTGCCATAGCCCAAGTGGCTAGAACACTGTCTGACACTGTCCGGAAAATGAATGAATTCCAGGGCTCACATTTGTCTAAAGGGGTGGCCTCAGGCCCCCACTGAGCAGGTCACTGACCAAACCACATGGTGGCTTTTCTAGGACCTCCTCATGCCAGGTGAGATGAACATGCCATCCAGCCCCTTGACTCCCACGGCCCCCCTGGATGGGGCCAGTCCTGTCCCAGTCCCCAAGCCTGCCCGTCAGTTGATCCGCTTGTCCAGCCCAGAACGCCAGCGGTTGTCCTCCCTTAACCTGACCCCTGACTCGGAAACGGAGCCTCCACCCAAGCCCCCCCGCAGTTGCTCTGCCTTGGCCCGCCAGGCCCTGGAGGCCAGCTTTGTGGGATGGGGAGTGCCAACCCAGAGCTCTGAAGGTAACTGCTCTGCCCAGATGTGCTGAGCCAGGGCAGGGAGGGGCGGGTGGTACTGGGATTCCTGAAGGGAAATGGGAAGGGAGGTTGTAGAGATCCCAGGCCATGTCTACTTCTCTGCTCAGTTCTTATGGCCATGGAGAAAGAAGAAGAGGGAGGAAGTCCCTCCTCCAGTGAAGAGGAAGAGGAGGAAGAGGAAGATGTGGCTTTGGACTCAGACATGGAACAGGTGAGTGGAAGGAACCTGGCCATCTACTCTGCCCAAGCCTGCACGCACCCACTAAATTCGCCCCACCCCCACCACAGGAGACACCTACAGCTGGCTCCCTTCTCTGAGCCCTGCTCTTGGAAGGTCTTCTCCCCCAGCCTGACTTATTCTTATCTCTAACCCACCATCTCTTCTACCAGAACACACCCCACTTCCAGCCCAGGTTCTTTTTGGCCTCTTCCAAACAAAGCTTCCCCAACCCCTATCCAACAAGAGGCCAGGCCCTGCCCCTGACTGGTCTGACCCTGCCACAGACTCTGCTGACCTGGGCCAAGAAATCAGGCACCATGGACAAGTACCCAACATGGAAACGGACACTGCTGCGTCATGCCAGGGAGGCGGAGATGAAGAGATTCTGCAAGGCCCAGGTGAGGTTCAGGGGTTGCCAAAAGTTCCAGTGGAGTCAGAAGTTGTGAGACTGGGGATTGGAGCGACTACAGTGCTCCGTTCTTGAACAATCCAAAGACTCCTGGACCTCTTGTCTTGGACCCCTCAGGCCATCCAGAGGCGGCTAAACGAGATTGAGGCTGCTCTGAGGGAGCTGGAGGCTGAGGGAATGAAACTGGAGCTGGCCTTGAGGAACCAGAGCAGTGAGTGAGGACAGGGGAGGGATAAGCGAGGATACCCCTCTGCCTCCTAGCACTGCGTCAGCCCCCAGCGACTCCTCAAGCCCACAGGTTCTGGCTCGCAGCAGGCTCCATTCCTCACGCTCAGGACTCCTAGGACCTGGGTTGAAGGCCTCCTGACCACGCAACCCCCCTTCTTATCAGGTTCTCCGGAACAGCAAAAGGCACTATGGCTGGAACAGCTGCTACACCTTGTTCAGAAGAAAAACAGCTTAGTGGCTGAGGAGGCTGAGCTCAATATCACGTAAGGGACACAGGGAGGTGACAGTGCTTGTGAGCCAGGCCCCAGTCGTGTCCTTGAGCACCGTGAACAACTGTGCCCATTCTGTCCCTGCCCTCCACAGGGTACAGGAACTGAGCCTGCAGGAGAAACAGTTGCAGCTGGACCAGGAACTCCGCAGCTACATGAACAGAAGCGGTACGCAGGATGTGGGGAGAGGCAGACATCACGGGGCTGGGGCTTGTGTGAGCCTCGTGATCTCAGGCACTGACCAAGCAACACGGTCCTTTAGTCAGAGTTCCTCTGAGGCAATTCGGCAGGAAGCCAGAGGAGCCCCTCTTCTGCCTGCCGTTCAGTCAGAGCCCCATGTATGGGTTTCATGCAGGATTTCCTTTTTAAAAATGGTGCTGCTGTGGAACAAGGCTAGAAAACCACTGGTGTTGACAAACCTAATTGTGCCAATTAGGAAACCAAAGTCAGGTAATAGAAGTCACGTAGGCCAGGATTGAGGCGTGCCTCTCCTGCCTCCCTGCCCAGTTCTGTGAGCACCATCTTCTTCCTTCAGAAATCCAAAAGACCGTTGCTGATCAGCAGGCTGAGGAACAGATCCTGAGGGAGCTGGTGAATGTGGTGAACCAGCGAGATGCCCTCATCCGCTTCCAAGAGGAACGCAGGCTCAGCGAGCTGGCATCAGGGCCAGGGGCCTAGGGCTAGAAGATGGTAGACTGCCTGCCTTCTTCCCTACAAGACCACCTTACCCAGGACAGTGCTACTCTGCTCATCTGGGCTGCCTGGGAGAGTGCCTCACTGTTTGTAATAAAAATGTTTCTGCCATGCCTAAGGCCTGCAGGTAGGAGGAGGTGGGGAGTGTGTAGGGAGAGCAAGAGATGTATAGGAGCCTGCAGGTTTAAACTATGACAATCACCGTGATCACTGGCCCCATCGCTGCCTCTCCAAGGAAAAGGCAGAGCCACCAAAGTCTCAAGATTTATTGGTCCTCAGCCCTGTTCCCCTCCTGATGCCCCAACAACAAGGCTGGCTGAGACTCTGGGCCCAAGTCCTGGGCTCCCCTTGCCCTTCCCAGCACATGGTGGAGCTCAGCCCGAGCCCTACATAAGCCCTTGACCTCCTGTATGTGGAAGAGATAGACTGCACCTGCCCCCAGCATCAGTCCTACACTGGGAGTCCAAAGCAGTATGGCAACTTCCCTGACCTCTCCTCCAGCAACCAGGGCACAGAGCAATGCGAGGAGAAGCAGCCCTAGCCCAATCACGTAGCCAGCGAAGGTGGCCCACCAACGAGCTTGAGCCACAGCCAGATCCAGCTCTGTCCAGGCCTCCCTTAGCACACTGATCAATGATGACCTCTCTGCTGGTCCTAGAACAAGGCAGGGCAGTGGAGCAAGAGAGAGGATCAGAGTGGAAAGGCTGTCTTGTGGTGGGGAGGGACCAATGGAAAGGATGTGGGTAACTCACCATTGGTAGAGCTGGGATTTTGCTGGGGTGGGCTGTGTTTCACACACAGAGTAGCCATCAGGGCCTCATGATCGGAGAGTGGGGAACCACTGTGAGGGTCATGGCCTGTAGTAGTTTTGAGAGTCTTACAGGAGATGTAGAATCCAGAAACAGCCTGGGGAAAGTAACGGCCAGAGAGAAACAGATCTTCCCAGGGAACCAGCTCCGAGCTGTCCCATTCCCCAGGCATCAGTGAACTAAGACTAGAGTAGCTGCACAAAGGGTCAGTACAGGTCCATGAGAGATGAAGAGACACAGTGGGTGAAGGCACACTATGGGGAGGGGCCTGACCTTATAAAGCACATAGTCGATGCGGACGCCACAGGGAAATGGCTCCAGCTCCTGCTGGTTGACATAGCAGTTCTGAGGTACCATTGTACAGCCTTCTTCAGAGCCCTAGGTGAACAGTTGGCTTGTGCTAGGATGTGGGGAAAGAAGGGCAAGAAGGTGGGCGTCCAGATGGAAAACAATCAAGCAGGTCCTCACCTTGAAGTCCTGGGTCTCCAGGTAGGCATCATGCAGCCCTGTCCACTCCTTCAGCAGGCGGTAGCCCAGGTCCTTCGGGTGCAAGTTGAGGTCCCCACACAATAGAACGACATCAGCCTTCTTGGATGTATGGCTAGGGGAACCAGGTGAGTGAGGCAAGAATTCCTCCCTAGCCAGCTCTGCCCTGTAAGTGGGGCCTTGGCCACCGCGCAGCCCCCGGACCCCATCCCACATCCCTCGTCAAGCCCAGGCTCACACACTGGATGAAATGGGCCAGTTCCCAAGCTTGGGCCACACGATGTGCTAGGTAGATGTCCTTCTGTCGATTGTACTCTGCGTGAAGCTGAATAAGATTAATGAGTTTACAGCGGGTGAGAATGAGGGTCCCAAGGGCAGGTCTAAATTAAGCTCCTGTCACTTGGCATGATGCTTGATAAAGAATGGGTGAACCTTGCCTATTGACTAGGAGATCCTGCCCCCACACCTCACCCCCAGGCAGCCCAGCTAGAGGATTCCATCTCTCCCTTCCAGTACCAGGTTGCCTGTCCCAGCCCTCAGCACCGCCAGCTTCACTCACATGGGTCACATAGGCATTGAGCACCAGTCCGCTTAGATGGAGTACCAGCAGTCCCACAGCCTTCCCACTGAACCAGTCACCATGATGGATCTACAGGCAGGAAGGGGCAGGAACTCAAGGCACTGCTCCCCTCTTTCTGCCCACCCCCCCACAACCCTAGGAAGGCTGCCTCTCTTAGCCAGTTAGTGGGGGGGTCGGTAAGGGAGGCAGATGAGGTCGGAGATCAGGCATACCATGTAGGGGTAGCCATTGAGACTGTAGACATGCTGGGTAAATTCCTGGATTGGGTGTTTGGAGAAGACACAGAGGCCACTGCCAATGATGCCACTGGAAGACAAATCCTGATTAATGGCCAGAAGAGCAGGGAAAAAAAAGACCTAGTCCTCTTCCCTTCCCTTGTCTTCCAGCACTTATCAGCTATTTTTTAAATCTCTGCTGTTGGAACCAGCTCTGGGACCCAGCTCAAAGCAATAGAACTTTGTGGGACTACACCATGACCTGATGACAGGGCTGAGATAAACTGAAGAGCTAGGATCTTCCTGGTTCCACCCTCTCCGGCTTCCACACCCAGAGGAGAGGATGCTGGGGGACAGGAAGGAGGGTGCAGCCAGGATAGGGTAGGGCTGGCAGGGCCAAGAGCCTCCAGGCTTCCAGGCCAGAAGGGTTCTCACCTCCTAAAGTAGTGTGCAGCTGGGTAGGTGGGAGACAGCTTCTGTCGCAGGTCCTGGAAGTCCTGCTCACTCCACACCTGCGGGGGGAAAGGGTGAGGATGTCTGCCTGGCTCTTCCCCACAGAGAAGGTCTATTCCTACTCCCCCCCCTTCCCAGCCCGGGTCCCACCACGCAAGTTCCATACAGCCCACCTCCTCCAGTAGAGCTAGGTCGAAGCTCTCCGTGTTCAGAAAGTCTCCTAGGCGCTTCATGCGATCTGCTCGGTGCTTGCTCAGGTAGGGAATGCCCCTAAGGACAGAAGGACCAGGGGAGGTAACTACTGGGAGTCCTCAGCCCTCTGGACACCGCTGGAGCTGGAGCCAGGTGTGGGTTTTGGCGGTGCACGTTCCCGCAGCACCCGAAGATTGTAGGACAGGGTAGATAGAGCCCTCGCCCGGATGTGAGGATGGCCTCCTTCCTCTGGCTGTGTGGGTGCGACTGGGCCGTGGCCCATATCCCACTCCGCAGGACCACTCACCAGCAGTTGAGGTTAAAGACCCTCAGTCGCAGGGAGAAGTTGGGCTTCATGGCAGGGACGGTCCCGGGACGCGGGACAGCTCGGCTTCCCCAGCGACCGCAGCGGCCGGGACCAGTGTGGGCTGGCAGCGCCTCTTCCCAGGGCGGTGCGCACAGGTGGTCGGCTCCGCTGTCACTCTGCCCCTAAGGACGTAGGTCCTAAGTCCGGAAGGCTTAGGCCAGTGACCCAGGCACTGCACCTGAGACAGACTCCCGCGTTACCCCAGCAACTGGCCAGCTGGCCCAAACTGGCTGCCCACCAAACCGGAAAGGCGATCTGCAGCGACACCCGGGAGGTGATTGAAGGTGAGGGCCGCGCGTGAGGGGGACCGGAAGAGTGCCGAGCCGCACTGAGACACAAGAGGCGCGGGGCTCCCGGTTCTTCTCCCCCGAATCCTGTCCCTGGCTGGCCGCGGCGGCCCGAGCACCCTCTGGCTCCGGCCAGCGCGCCCTGCCGCGGTGTTTTCCGGCTCACCAGCAACAGGCGTACAAGCCTCGCAGCTGCTGCCCGCCCCGCCCTAGCTCCGCCCCCCTCCCCCCTGCGAGCGTCGGGGGCGGGGCCTAGCCGTTGTCTCGGCGACACGCAGTGTTTGTGCTCCGACTAGTCCCATAGCGCAGTCATGTCGGCACCGCAGACTTGCGGGCAGAGGTCGGTCCCAGGCCGCTCGCAGTCGCCGCCCGAGCAGCCGCTGCAAGTGAAGGTGGTGGGGCTCTTCAAAAGCTCTAGCTTTCAGATTGCGAAGAGCACAGCTGAGGTAACGGCGAAGAAACTACAAGTGCGGGAGGCCCTTCCCATTTCCCAGCCTCGCGCCCTGGTGCCGGGGGTCTACGCTCGGAGAGGGGCGTGTCCCGGCTGAGCCCGGCGGGTCGGTTAGGATTTGCGCGAGAAGGGGAAAGTGCGGGTTCGTAGAGCGGGCATTCCACTTCGAGAAGGGCTGCCTTTAAAGGGCCTTCCGAGTGAAGAACCTTGCTGGGAATAAAGGTAATTCCTGCCCTCTACATAGCCACACAGTTTATTCCACATTAATTTTTAAATGAAATTATAGATTTTTAAAATTCATGAAAAAATGTTTAGGAAAAAGTGTAACCATATAATTAGCAGAATTTTTACAGACTCCCACTCCGATTGTTGAAAACTATTCGTTCGGGAAGGTTTTTGGTTTTAATTTAAATTTTTTATATTAGTCACTGCATTCCAATCGAATTATGGGCTGACGGGGATTTCTCTTTCTTTTTTAAAAGATTTTATTTATTTATTTATTTATTTGTAGAGAGAGGGGAAAGGAGGGACAAAGAAGAGAAATATGAATGTATGCGAGAAACAAATCGGTTACTTCTCCCTCGCCCCAAGTCCACATCTCACGCATCTGCCCTGACAGGGACTGGAACAAGCAACCAAAGGTCCGCAGGCCAGCTCTCAATCCACTGAGCTACACCAGCCAAGACAGATTTCTTAATAAATGACTGACCATGAGGTGCTTCCGAAAATACAGATATTTCTTTGTAAACACACAGAATGATATAGAAGGAAAAACACTTTAATTGGAAGAATGTGGCTAAGTCAGTAATGTTGCGGCACACCTATAACCCCAATGCAGGGGAAATGTAGAAATCTATGAAATGTTGAAATGTAGAATTCAGCCCTTTGCTCCAGAAATGTTGCTCTAACATTACGCCAATCTTCTCTCCTTCAAAACCCCACCAGACTCCAAGACAATACCTTATGTATGTATCTCACAAAGTACCCAGCTGGATAATTGACACAAAATGTTGCCAAATAGAAGAAATCTTAAATTCCTACCTCACCTACTCCAAGTCCACAGAGTTAAAGAAAAGTTTGTAATTATGTCAAATCAGGAAATAGTAACTACCTTATGAAATAGGTAAAAGTTACATCAAAATGAAGAATGATCAAAGTCTGTGGAAATGATACAAGGATCATGTAAAGTAGAAATTGAGGGTTGTGTTAGTTGGGCTGATGGAATTAGCATAGTTTTATAACCTAAGTTGTATTTCATATGTTTGAGGGGGGTTTTCTCCTTTGTTTCTCTTAGCTCCTTTTCTGAAGGCACATGTTTTCTGCACCTGCTCCACACTGGAGACAAGGTGTTGTCAATGTTTGGGGGTGAAGTCCAGATATTAAATTATTAGGCCGTTGGGGCCATAGTTTCTCCATGGCCACCACTCAGTTTTATCCTTGTGGTGCAAAAGCAGCCACAGAGTATGTAAATGGATGGCGAGTTTCCAATAAAACTATTATGCACACTGAAACTTGACATGCATGTAATTTCACATGATGTGAAATATGATTCTTTTGTTTTTTTCAACTTAGTGGTTTTTCAACTTACTTGGTTTTTTAGAGCTAAAAATTATTCTTAGCTCTAATGTCAAAAAACAGGCTGGGGGTCAGATTTGTTCCACTGGCCAGGTTGCCAGTGTCTGTCATAGAACACGCCAAGTCAAGAAAACAATATCTTCATTATATCAGTAGTGATCATTTTCCCTCTCATAAACTTTTGCCTACTGTAGCTCTATATGAATATGAAAACATCAATGTGAATTCAGTTTTTACTTAAATGATCCTAGAAAACATGATCATTTGTGAGCAATCCCAGATGCAAACTAACTGACAAAGATTCAGATTTGTAAAAAGTATTGCACATATTCTAATTTGGATGTAGTCCATTCTAGAACAAACACTAAATTATGAAGAAAGTATGACTACATATGCTTAATTTGAAAACCATTGGGTTTGTTAATCATTCTAGGTGGTCCCTCAGTTCGAAACAGTCATTCTACACAATTCCCTCAGAGTGAGCACAGAGACTGGAATTGAGAAAAAAAGGACACATCATCTGTTGGTTGGGGACAGTAGACTAAGAAGGCAATGGCCAGATTGCTGTTGCCCTCTTCTGCTGTCCCTGGTTCCAAGGCAACATGCACTCACATTGCGGCTTTCTTCCACTTGAAATATCTACTCTTGACAAAGCGTGCCAGATCAGTGTTCTCTTAGACCAGGGGTGTCAAACTCATTTTCATGGGGGGCCACATCAGCCTCGTGGTTGCCTTCAAAGGGTCAAATGTAATTGTAGGATTGTATAAATGTGACTACTCCTTAACTGTTAAGGAGTTGAAATTACATCTGGCCCTTCAAAGGCAACCAGTGTGGCTGATGTGTCCCCCCGTGAAAATGAGCTTGACACCCCTCTTAGACGATGGCAGAAGAGGCCAGCTGTCACTTTTCCTGTTGGCCCATCTGCTCCTCAGACCCACTCAGAAAACAGGCCTAATTGTTACTGCCTCAACTACCTTTTTTGCTTTAAAAGGAAGGAAAGTATAACATATTAGGAACCAAAATATTTTATTTTTAACGAGGATTATTAACCACTAAGAATGTTCTCTGATTCATATAGACAATTAATATACAGCATGTTAAACCAAAACATGCTCATTATCTAAACCTAAACATACTTAGTATTTACTTATCTCTTTCCCAAGAGGTATAACCATAACAATATCCTTTTGGTCATTCTCCATATATCAGTGAATTAAATCAATACATTTATTTCTTTTAGTTAAAAGTATCCATAGATCTATTGAGATTTAGTAAGAGCTTAATTGAGGGGAAAAAATGGTCCTAAAAGAACATAGTAGATCACAGAACTGTTGGCACAAACTCATTTATTCAGATGTTTATTCAGTGGCTATGTGTGAGTGATCTATTACATGCCAGATGCTGAGGCCAGTGGAAGTATGTGAAAACTAAGACACAGTCTTTGCCCTCAAGGGGCTTATGCTCTACAGATGAGAGACAAATAAGACAGAGCCCCAGCCTGGGCCGGGGCGTGACTCAATGGAAGTGAGCACACGGGACCTCAGAGTGCCATGCAGCCTGGGGATGTGCTGTATAAAACTTCTTGGAGACCCCATGAAAATTGGGGCAAAATGATTGCTACTTTAAAAAAGGAACTTTCTCTAAAATAATTATTCTATTTTGAAACCTAGAGTCTGAAGAGTAATTTTCCATCCAAATTTGAAGATCCTATAATAGTTCCTCTTCAAGATTTTGCATGGGATCGATATCTACAGGAGAAAAAACGGGTAAAGGATATTTGAGCTGGTGGAAACAAGTGAAGTTTTGCCTGAAGTATTTATGCATTGTTCTGGGAAAACTGAAGTAGTAATTTTAGTGCAACTAAAGTTTATTTCTTTAAATTATGCACTTTTCCTAAATTATTTCAATCATTTTACCAGGCTGATTTTAAGAAAAAGTAAAACATTTACAGGATTTTCTTTTGGAAGGCATGAGATAAAGGTAAGCTTTAAACTCTCAATGCTGCTACCTACCCCTGTTGATGGCTGCCCCTCTTTCCCTGCACATCCCTTACACTTTCTGGCGCTCAGGTTGCTATGGCTTGCCACTCTTACTCTAGAAGGTTTGGTTTCGGAGCATAGATGTAATGAGGAGCTTGTGTTGGGCTGTTGCCTAGGGCAGCTCTGATGACAGGCACCAAGTTCCCACAGGGTGGCATTGTTCCAGTTGAAGCTTGCTTCTCTACATCTCCCCCCTCACAATTCCCTTGGAGACCCCAGGGCTAGTGGAGCTTGTGCAGGGAGGGCAGATCAGTTTTCTCTTTGGTGCCAGCCCTGATAAGTTGGTAGTGCCGTCAGCAGCATATGATATGAAGGATTCTGAAGTGGCATCCTGACTCAGCAACATCTGGTGTTGCGGGGGAGGTGGAATGGTGTACACCCCTTGCCAGACCCCCTAGTCCAGTCCTGTAGAGAGTCCCAGTCCTGGTTTCCCTGCCCCACCCCATCTTGCCAGTAGCTGATGAAATCCCATTTTGCCTGACCAGAGCAGTTTCAATTGTTTTGTGCCTGGTTGCACAAGGAGGTCCTGTGGCCTTGTGATTATCATGTAGACAGTGTCGCTTTACCTGAGACCACTTCACTCTGCAGTCACATAAGTAACGCAAGACTGAGCCCTGAATACCACTTGTTAAGTCTCATACCATTTTCATAGCCTTAATGCATTTTCATTGGCATTCGAATAGAACCATAGCAAACACGTGTGATGCTTATTATATATGTCAGACACTATTCTAATAGCTTCTAATGTATATTTACTCTAATCTTTACAACTAGGGCGACCAATGGTCCTGGTTTACCTGGGACTGAGGAGTTTCCTGGGATACAGAAATTTCAATACTGATGCTGGGTCAGTCCTGGGCAAACCATGACAGTTGGTCACTCTAACATAAAACAAAGTTTTTCTTCATTTTTATCATCAAACTTACTATACTGTGTACCAGCATCATGCTCTCACTTCCAAGAGAGCCACGGTCTCACACTTTGGCTTGCACCTGCTCCTCTTACATATTCCCTCTGTACTCTTAAAGAGTAATTTCCCACCCCTTTCAGCCAAGGTTACTGACCTTGACATGTTTTGTGTTCCCTTCCCCCTGCCTTTCTCACAGGGCCTGAAGGAGGCTTTCTAGATATGCAT